CGGCCGAGAAGCAGGGCCACTCCGACACGAAATCCATCCTCCAAGAGCACGGGGTCCCGAGCGCCCGGTCCATAAACCCGAACCCGGCCCGAGAACTCAAACAGACCGTTAGCGACATAAAGCACGAGGTCCACCACCAACTGGAGCACACCCGCCAGACGAGGAAGCGCGTGCAAGGGATCGCCAAGCGCCTCAACAAGATGCACGCCGAGGGCTTGAACAACGCCATCAACTCCACCACGGTGGTGGCGGTGCTCATCGCCACGGTGGCGTTCGCCGCCATCTTCACCGTCCCCGGGCAGTACGTGGACGACCCGGAGAATATCCCGGCGGGCCTCTCCCTCGGAGAGGCCAACATCGCCCCGCAGGTGCCGTTCCTCATATTCTTCGTGTTCGACTCGATCGCCCTCTTCATATCGCTGGCGGTGGTGGTGGTGCAAACGTCGGTTGTGGTGATCGAGAGCAAGGCCAAGAAGCAAATGATGGCAATCATCAACAAGCTCATGTGGCTTGCGTGCGTGCTCGTGTCGGTGGCGTATCTGGCTCTGTCGTTTGTCGTTGTTGGGAATCAAGAGAGGTGGCTCGCCATCGGAGTCACCATAATAGGGACCACGATATTGGCGACAACGATAGGGACTATGTGTTATTGGGTGGTGATGCATCGGATAGAGTCGAAGAGTAAGAGGATTATAAGGAAGAACTCTCAGGCGACTCGGTCGAGGTCCGGGTCAGGTTCGGTCCCGTCGGATCACGAGGGTTTGGAGGATGAGTTCAAGAATATGTACGCGATCTGAGCTCCGTATCAAGAATGTGTAGATCTTTGATGTAAACTACGTGGATGTAGTTTTATCAGGTGTAGCATCTAAAGAACCGCGATTCGAAAGCTCCCCCTATGCAGTTTTCCGGGTTTGGATGTGGGGAATGCCGTCATCTTTCTTGGTGCAATGTGCATGTACAAAAATAAATTAATGGATGCATAACATTTGTAAACTTTATTTTTCCTTTTCCATTTCTTTTCTTTTTTTGGTTGTTCTTTAGAGTGAACATGGTCGTCAAAAAAAAAAAAAATAGATGGTTGATATGAGAAGAAATGAAGAATACACATTTAGTGAACAACGTTGTCCCCGATGAGAGAGCGAGAAAAAAATATTATGTAAGCGATGTTATTAATTATAAAGTGCTTATGTTTCTACGTTGGTTCCTCCTCTGCGCAAACCAATATGAATATACGGGTAAATATCATGAAATAAACGCAAATCCATGACCCAATTAGTGCATTTTGTGCCAAATAGTTGCGATAATTTCTGAAATTCCTTTTCTCGAAGTCACTCCATTCCACTACTGAACATTCTTTATAACATCCTAATTTTGCTATTAAAGATAATCTGGTATACCGTATTTTCACTTGTTGAGAGTCGACCTAAAGGAATTCAGAATTGCGAATTTCCACCTAAAACCAAACTCTTCAATGCTGGCATTGACGCCTCGAGGAGCTCCCTCTTGCTCAAAATTCTGTCTGATGTACAATCTTCTTCCTGAAGAAAAATGCAGCACACATAACAGTCGAATGTTATTTGCTTACATGAATGTTATTAAGTTATACCAAAATCGCGAGGGGAAAAAAAAAAGGTATAGCTGTAAACTCACGTCGCCGGTTCCTGCAGATATTAGAGAAAGAAGGCCCACTGCAGCGCTTTGGTAATCTGTTAGAGTCTTGAATGCTATATCGTCTAGTTTATCCTGTAAATCGAATCAATGTGAGGCATCAGATCTGTACTATTATACTAGAAGCATAAATATTCAGGATGGAAATACGAGTGTCAGTTGTTTCACAGTGATTGTAGTTTATGATTCCATGTGAATGAAGGCAAATGCCATGCGAGAATTGTTTCAAGGTTTCACCATCTTTATTTCAAAATTGCAATTAGTACTACGTTAATTAGGTTTCGAAGAAAAAATTCCAAATTCATTCGAGACCAAAGGCTAATTTAAAGTGGATTTCATTTCTTGCTAAGTACCCTCGTGCTGGAAAGCATCTCATTATTGAAGCCACTAATTTGGAAAAGGGTAGAGTCGTAAAATGGAATGTAGAAACCAAATATTAGATATGGATCTGCAGAACTGTAAGTTCAGTAGTTTTTTATCCAGAGAAGAAATCCTGAATCTACAGCTGTCAAACTACATAGCCTGTCATATCCTCTATTTTGTATGACAGTTGAAAAACAGTAGGTAGATAACAGTAAGAAATAATATCATTTTTTTTTTCGATAATAAAAGATAAAACTCACACCTTTAATTTAGAAATGGCAACTGAAATAGCCCTGCCAGGAGCTTGAAGAGCTTTTCCATGTATCTGCAAGTAAAGAGTGAACAAATTCAGGAGAAATAAAAAAGATGTCCATTCTAGTCAACTGAGCACATGTAATTCAATAATAAACCGAGAAAAGCTCACCTGGACATATAGTAAAGAAACAACTTTTGGCAGAAGGGCGACAGGATCAGTTTCAGCAGAAACTTGAGATGTTAAATCCTGAAAATCCCAATAAGAAGAAATTATTCCAAAACATCAATCCACATATCCAAAGAAGCATAAATGGTGCAAAATAAGTTTACAACTATCAACAAAGATAAATGACAGGTGGGCAGAAAATTTTACTCTGTTGATTCTAAAAGATCATTAATCACGTGATGCTAAACCCTCCAATTTCAAACAACTATGACACGTTTACACAAATAAACATTAACCTTTCTGAAAACAATTATTACTTCAGGGCTCGTTAACAGATTGAGTAGATGTATGGGCATACCTTTCGATATGAATGCAGAAGAGTCCTCTCCAACTTCTTATCAAGTTTTTTTAGCATTAAACCGCTGGAAAAATGTGGACGGAAAATAAGTTCCAATTCTTATGTACCCAAGCATGAAAATCATAGACCATAATGCTCAACTTATACCTTTCTTCGGCCAATTCTCTTACTGCATTTATGAATAACTCGATGCGCTGCCATAATAGATAAAATAACCCGAGTTTGTTAGACAGACTGAAATTAATATCACAAGCAGATCATATGTACCACACGGATTAGACCAAAGGACTGCACTAACCTTCCCCTCCAAAGTTTCAACTAGTCCAACGGCTTTGAGCGATAAAGATCTGGGCAAACCCTTTGCCTGCGAACAATAAACATGGCTATAAGAAGTATGAATGAGGAAAAGGAGTTGCAAAAGAATCTACATTAAAATATTTACCAACGCAATTCTATCAGAAGAGCTCATTGATACAGTTTCGGGATTTTGAAGTTCCTCGAGTTGAATTCCATTCTTCAATTTGTTGTACATGTCCTGCATAGACAACTCAGAAATAAGGCCCAGAATAACGATCACTTCAAGGTTGAAAGATTAAAAAATTTGAATAATCTGCACAATTACCAGGTTAACTAAAAGGTGTTCCACTATTGGGGTGGCTGCAGTTCGTAACAAATGTTTGTGCAAAAGAGCCTATTATGGAAAAGGAAACCGCTTATTTAAGTATGTTTCGCAATAGTATTACATTACAACTATAGTTGACAAAAGAACTTACTGCAGTCGACGGGTCATCTTCAAATAAATCAAGCGCCTTTTCATATAGTTGAATATTCAATAAAGCCTGCCCAGAAGATGTAACGGTTAATAGGGAAGTATGTAAAGTGTGTTATGTTCAGATGAATCATCAGATAGAAATCAAACATGAACCAAGAATAGGACATGCAATTACCATTGCATCATATCATGGGAATATTGGAACAATTTCATCGGTTCATTAAAAAGATTAGGCAGGAAATGGCAAAACCTTGAAGCTTAAATGTGGCATCGTATCATGGGAAGTAATACCATTATCCTCCACAACCCAGACACTTTCGAATATAAGTAAAATCATTTACATGTTAAGGAACTGCGGGAACAAACTTGAATATATGTCATTACCTCGTCAAGCTTGCGTTGAATATTATCAAGCACCCGTCTCATTTTCTGAGCATTATCAGTAAAAGCAACCTTTCTTCTTTCCATCCATGAGTTTAGGAGCATGGGTCTCAAATGGGTTGCAAGAGGTGCAAGAACAGTCTCAGGATCATCCATCCCTACGTAAAAAGAGTCCATGTCAAAACTGGATGAGAGTCAAATTAGGATTTGGATAAGCAGTGAAGAAAATCGACATAACACACCTTGCTCCTCAAGATCTGGGATCAATGACATGATTCTTTGAATCAACGATTCTTCTGACAGAAAGCTAGGGGTCTCCATTCTATCAGTATCTCTTTTAGCACCTGGCTTTGAATCTGAAACCTGTGCACTTGGAATAACTTTCCCCTTTTTCTGCTTTTTCTTAGATTTAGTAGCAGTAGATTCTTGGAATTCGGGGACACTTTCATCAGTCCCAGCTTTAGCACTCCCAGTTGCTTTTCCTTTTTTCTTCTTTGATCCTTTCTCTGAAGCCGATTTACCAGTACCACTTTGAGTATCATATTCATCCAGATCTGCTTGACTGCTGCTATCATCATGTCCTTGTTTAGAATCTTTGATGACATGTGGAATGTCTGACGACCCAGCAGCAGTCAGTCCAGTAGTATTTAAGTTTTCCAGCTCTTTCTCAATACTATCAAACAAACCCTGCCATATAAGAAAAACATAAAATACAGAAGCTTGGTTAAATCCCGAAGGGTGGCTGCAATACTAGTATATGGTAAAATCAGCAATTTTATTCAATAATTTCAGACATCAATTGCAAGCATCTTGAATCCAGAAACAACATGATATCAAAGCCTTTATAGGAAAATTGTAACTGATTTCAAAACATGGAGAATTAAAAAAATCTGTTACATATTCAGAAATCATGTACGGATGAACGGAAACCTGTCCACATATGTCCATGAGGCTTTTCACAGACAAATCTTTGTAAAACATATCACAATAAAAAGAACTGTCAGACAAAACTTGTGAAAACTTTTCGTTTTTCTTTACGAAATCAAACTTGGACTATTTGTCAGACATTTTCGAAGGGATTTTAAGGACTTACCTTCACAAAAGTATCGCTAAAAATGTAAGATTCCCCCAGCAAATGTGCTTTACTAGACTGAAACAGGACAAGTTCATAAGGTAAGTACAAAGAAATTATCACTGATGATAGCAAACAAATATTGTAAGAATAAGAATGAATCACCTTTAGAGCTTTTTCAACAGATGGGCAAAGCGAAAGAATCTTAGATGCATCTTGGGACCCAAAGGATATGGGTAAAATTGTTAGTGAATCTATCCTGCATTTAATATATCAAGAACAAGTTCTTTGAGTATGCATGTAATTAATAGTAGAGTTGAATGTACAAGCATCCAAAAATTAAAAAAAGAAATAAACAGACATGCAGGGAAAAGAAGGGCAAATTTTTATTTACATGTCTATTAGAGTGTATTTAGTGAAGTTGAGATGAAATCTATGTATTTTTACAGTTTATTAAGCAGATGGAATATAGTGACTACTAATAGTTGAGGTTTACTATTGTACTTTGGCTTCTACCATAGTCCATGGCATCTTACAGTCGTTATTTAATGCACTCCCACTTCTATTAGAAAAACCCAGGAGAACATTAGTTAAGAATTTTTGAACAGTATGCCTAATAACTAACAAGATGTGTTAAAATCGTGTAAGTAAGACAATTCAGCTGATGTTCAGATTGTTGATTGTTCAAGCTTGGTTTATTTTCTTTCTGAGCTTAAGAAATTTGGTTATTATGCAAGGCACTTCATGCTTTTTAACGAAATGACTCAAATCCTGGCCATGTAAAAAAGATTTGCTAGCACTAAAATAATATATGCATTTGAAACTAACCAGGTACCACGTTCAACGGCGTCCTCCACAGCAGAGTCCAACATTTCAATCATCGATGCATGAGCGAAGACAGTGACAAGAGGTTTACCTTCAGGATATCTAGACTGTGTTGATTATCCACGGCCCAAAATTAGATAGTTATCAAAAGAAACTTATCTTTTTTATATTTGTCAGTCTGATTTGGGAAGTGTTATATTAAGTTAATTTGCTCAAGTCAATCAAACATAGAGAATAAGAAAATGAAGAAAGTCCCAATAGATTAGATACCTGCAAAAATTGAATAGGCTGTGGAATTCCAAGCTTGTGAAGAGTATCGTAACTGATGAAGGAATTCTGCATCACAAAGAAAGGGAAACGGCTCCTTAAATGTTTCAAATGAGAACTATCCAAGTGTTCAACTTTTATACTTTAGTTAAAGACAGATTTTAAAGCACCACATTTTTGGTTGGAATCTTTACAGGCTGAGGAAAATGGATCATTTACATATCTATCCTACCGTCTCTCACTTGTTTCTAGTATATTACAAGGTTCTCTAAAGGTTTTTCCTCTACACTCTTTCCAATTTATCTTAAAACGAGACTTATTTCTACCAGTTCGAATGTTATTCCAGAGAATATTCATCACTAATATATTGCGAAACCTTAACGTAGATGTAACAGAATTCATCTAGCATTCCGTCAAGCAAGTAGTTTCTTGTAAGAATTCTCAATGTCGTGAAATAAAAAGCTAGAACCAAATAGTGAGGAACAAAAACTTACTTCCAATATATAGAAAGTTAGAAAAAAAAAATGACATCAAAATAACGATAAATCGATAAACTATTCCCCAAGCCAACCAGATTTTCGAATATGAATGTGTTCCTGTCAAGAAAGAAAGAGAAGCAAAAAGAAATGATCTATACCTGCGAAAAGAAAGAATCCACACACTCTTTTTGAGCCACAGCAAAGACCTGCCGCATAGCACACAACATTAGCAAGATGTGTTTTCAATACATAGATCATATTACATAAACTGGCGACATGTCATATATGTTACATACAAGGATGTCATGTAAATACCATTTAATTACCAGAAATAAATTCAAGAACAGAAGAATGACAACAAGCATCAGAATACCAATTGGACAATCAAGTTATCCTATTACATAATCAGTAACTAAAACACAATCAACATTTAGAGTTAATGATATCATTAAAAAAAATATAACAAGAAAGAGTCGTCTCACATACAGAAGGCGTCCAGTGTACTCCGGCACGAAGGGAGCCAAGAATCTCGCCACCCTTAACCAACCCATTAAACAACGATTGGAAAAAGGAACTCTCAACTGCCACACCACTGAAACCATCCATATCTTGCAACAAAATCTGCAACGAGCTCCACCATGCCGACAAATTCATCGGAACAGCAATCCCCCTTGCAGCACCTCGAACCATTGCACTCACGCGCGCAACATATGCCGGTGTATACAATTGGCCACCTTCAAGCCTACCTTTCACCTATACAAACATCCACAACAAAAATCTAAACATCTTTCACAACACAAATAAAACTGAGTAAAACTTCGACGAGAAAATTACCAAAGTCCCCAAGCGTGGTTCTAGAACGGAGACTAATAATTCGGAGCCCACTTGCAGCTGAGCTGCAATCTCAGCCAAAGAAATTTGGCTGCATTCCTGGAGCCGTTCATTGATTTCTTCAGAAACAGTGTCCCAATACGAATTTGAAATTATTTCACCATTGATCAACATAAGAGAAGAGTCATTCGACACAACGTGCTGTGATTGTTTCTCCACATGGTATAAATCCAGCCCTGTGGTATCCGCCAGATCAATCAACGATGCCCGCCCTCTCTTATTAATTTCAGAAACTATCTCACTCCTTAATTGCTCCTACGAACACAGAATTGGGAACAAGCAGCGATAAAATTAAATAAGTTTTTGACAAAAAAAAAATCAAGGGTTACAGTAATTAATTGATGAGGTGAATCAGTTACCGGAGTGATGTATTCTTTGCCGGAGGTGGTGTAGAGGAGATCGAAGTCTATGATTTGGAGTTGCTGGAGTTTCTGGACCAATTCGACGACGTTTCGCTCGGACAAACGAATGCTCGATTTCGCCTGCTGAGCGGACTCGAATTGCCTCTGCAGTTCCAGCAGTTCCTCATCCATGGCGGCGGCGGCGGCGTTCTGTGTGGTGAGTGTAGATTCCGATTGGGGGTGATCGCCGGTTAATGTTACAGGGGAAGAAACAGAGTAAAGAGTCCTGTAAACTGTGAAGGATTATGTCAGTCTAATTATGTTGAAAAAGGAAAGAAAGAATTATGTCTAACAAATCATGACATTTTGCCTCTTTTTATGTTATAAAAATAAAAATGCTAGGGATGGAATTGGAGTGAAATTTTCGTTTTTCTTTTTTTTTTTTTGTTTGGAATTTGAATTCGGAAATTCGGACTTCCAAGTTTTCTGAAATTATTCGGCTCGGAATTGGAATATATAAATAAATTAGATTCCGAATCCGATTGAAGTTCAAAAAAATAATTCTAAAAATTTCGATAATCTTTCCGAATAAAACACGTAAAATACCCTTATTATTATGTATTTCATATTTAAGGTGACCAAAATTTGAAAATTTCTGAATTCCGCCAATTTCAATCAAAAAAATTCGATTTTGGAACAAGTTTTCTAATTTTTTTTTAGAGCGAAATTGGAACTAGTATTTTGCATTTAGCCGATATCAGAATTCTGTGTCTTGGTGTTGTTGCTACCATCAGTCAATTATCAAGCGGCAATATTATCAAACTGGAAGCTTTGAGTATGGGGGAAGACGAGTTTTGTGGATGTTACACTCGTCGAACTTCTGAAGACTATGTCACTGTTAAAGTGTTTGACGAGATGAAACAAAATGGGCAATCAATGGTTCCGGAAATGGATTTCGATGAACTTGACGAAATGATCGATCAACATGCAAATGCAAATTATCTCGATGAAATTACATCAGATGAAGACTATGTCGCGTTTGGGGATTATTACGCTACAAATGCACAAACTAATGATCAAAGTATGGTTCCAGATTTGGATTTGCAAGTGTTGTTGGACGAATCATCGAAACTTTCCTGCATGAAAGATTGTTAAAAAAAATGGGCTCCAAAAACATTTATAATCACATGAAACTAAACAGGGAAATGACCAAAACCAACATCTGCAACAATACGAGGCTCAAAAGGCAATTACGCATATTTTACAGGATAATGCCGGTTGGCATAGCGATCGCTTCATCTGCCTCCAACTTTTTATCATAAACTGTTCGATAGAAAACTTAAACGAAATGTAAGCCAGTTGAATATTACATTGGAGTGTTGATAAGAAGCATGAAAAGAATAACTCCCAGGACAAATGAAACCGAAAACGAACCTATGAAGAAAAGCAAGAAGACACTTGTGAAAATAAAAATGAAATACTGAAAGATCCTAGTTATAAAAAGCTATTATACACATAGATATTGAAGATTCTGCATCTGTAATAACAAAGTCACATCACCTACAGTCAACTGAGAGCTTTTTTAACAAAGGCATTAAGCTATTATATATCTGTTTAGACTGTGAATTCAAACCCTTGTGAAATTTACTCACACTCGTTTATATAGCCTAGAAACGAGAACAAAATTTCACAAAAAATAAATAAAATAATAGCATTCATCCGCAGTAGTACTACTAAACGTTAAATTTTCAAGAGCCGGAAAAACTCGAGAGTCAAGATCTTCTTTTTTCCCCCACCTTTCAAATTATTTCCTTTTGATAACACATCATAATGAAAATCAAGAACTCAATGCTTCGGTTTTAGAAAATTTATACACTACGACGTCTAAAGGTTGTTAAAAATTTGAAACTACGGAAGTGAAAAGAGAATGCAAAGGAAGGTTTTTAAGATATCTAATTCATGCAAAAGATACAGAGAGATTACAACAGCTAATAACAGAGGCAGCATTGCTGCAATAATTGCTTACAATGATTGCCGAACAGGAGAAGAAATTAAAATAAAACTTGATTTTGCCCTAAAGAACAAGTTGAACCTGAAGATGTACATACTGAGCATATTTGTCAATGGTGAGGTAGAGCTGGTCTCTTTTCCAACATTTCATACAGTAGAACAAAATTATCCTGCATATATAAGATTATATAGTCCAATCAATGTCCTCGATTTTAAAATCAATTAACATCAATTCCGATTCAGTAACTTTAATTGAACAACCGGTTGAGAGGGCAACGAACCTTGCGAATCGTCTCCCATGTATTAGGATCAAAACAAATATACGAACCCTTCTCGTATGTATTTGTCTTGACAAGAGGCTCCATCTTAGTAACTCTCATAAACCACAACCGGTGCTCCATATGATAGAACCAGCCTCTATTATACCTGAAACCATCCGTGTACAAAGCCAATTAACAACAATTCATGGCAGAAATATCAGAATCAACCATGAAAAAGCTGTGGCGGTGACAATCAACAGACATCAAATACAAGATACAATACATATATGTTCATGGAGCTAGTGGAAATAACATACAATTCATTTGCCGCATATATTTGGGCTTCTTCCCTTGGCATACTGCATAAAGTCAACACAAGAACAAGTAGGTCATATTTAGTTGTTTACAGTAACAGATTAAAATAAATAAAGGATGTTCAAAGCAAAACTCACCTATAGAAAATATAGAACACTGTATCCAGTTGGAACTTTGAGAAGTAAGCTTGCTGCAGCAAAGCAACACATTTTAGCAAGAAGGAATTGGTTAAAAAGTAAAGCATCATATCACTAGAATAACGAGAAAGCTAACTCACACTAAGAGGTTGTGGTTGTTTGGCATAATAACATTTAGGCACAGTGTATTCAGGGTCTCCCTTGGCTGGCTCATCCGACCATGGAGAACCAAATGATTTATGGAGATTTTCAGTAGAATTCAAGTTCAATCCTAGTGTAGTTAGGTCAATCCCAAGTGCAAGAGGTGTCAAATTAGGATCACTCATTCTTATTACACTTAACAATCCACGCAAACCAAATTGGTCAGAAGCTGCATGGGCAGCTTGCGCAGGCTTCATTCCTTGATCCCTAAAAGACTGGCCAACAGGAGACATTTGTTGAAGGCGAAATTGGGATTGATTCTGATGCTGTTGATATTGCTGTAAAACTTGGTCGTACTGCCCCATACCAGACACTGAACTCGGAATATTCAAAGGTCGCAATCCTAGGCCTGGGGGTCCACTGCTCTGAATCGTATACAAAGAGAATAAATACAAACATTAGGTATGCTCTAAGGTAGAATAAATAACAAGAACAAGAAACCAGTAGAACATTCTGTATGTTCTAAGCTAGTTTTATACAAGATTTAATAGCCATAAGGAATGCTTAACTACAAAAATTGCTGAGAAAAAATTGAGGTGTTTTACACCTGAAACTTCAATTTTAAGTTCATAATAACCTCTCAGTCAACCACATATAGTTGGAGTTGGAAACATTCTAAAGCTGGTTATAAGCTGACTCTCAAAGCCAAAGAAATTGTTTTCTCCATGAATAAGGAGATAAATAACAGGAAAATAAAGCAGGTGTTTAACCAGAATATGAAATATAAAACATGAAAACAACTTTTGAGATAAAATAGCGCGGTTATCTTTCTATCGAGTCCTTTTTTCCCTTTTTCCTATTTCATCATTCCTTCTTTTCTTTCTTTCTTTTCTTTTTCAGTGGGGGTGGGTAGGTGTTAAACAAATGGCAATTAGCTTCAATAGCTGTAAGTTATGATTAAATTGAATGATAACTTGGTAGCATATTAGCACCTGTGGATGGTAGTTTGAAGGCGACGATGGAAACATATCTGAACCATGTAAATGGAGTAGATCTTGGTTATTCAGATTTGAAAAGGGCCCACCACTGCCACTTGCTGACTGAGTATGTTGCTGTTGCTGCTGTGGTCTGTGAGATGAGAATGTAGCACCCAAATTGAAACCAGTAGACCGTCCTATCTGCACTTTTATTAAATAAGAAATTGAGAAGCACTGAAGAAGCTAAAACGTCATGCATGCTTCAGACTTTAACAATGAATCACTTACAGAAAAATGTTGAGGCTGCATCATAGAAAGAGAACTATCATGAAGTGATTCTTTCTGGTTTAGGTCCATAGAATAATCAGCATTGCCACCTGTGAAAAGATAAATACGATGTCAATGATAATGTAGAACCACCCAAAAGAAGACGCAAACATTTGAAGATTCTCAGACAAGGCAATAATGACAAATGACTGGAACAAGGGACATAGATAAGTTTCAATAGCCATGCAAAATTCTTTCTGACCAAGTTTCAAAAGTGAAAAACAAGATAAATATTTACAGAGATACAAACTTTCAACCTTTCCCTAATTTATTAAACTTAAAAATGAAAAATAGCAAACTGTATCTGTTGAAACTGATTACACCGCATCACATGCACAAGCAATAGGCCAATATGGTTAAATTGAGAAGACGAACTTAGAATGATCTGGATTTGAATAGAGATGAACAACAAAAACAAGCATCTAAAATGTCTTGTGATTGTGATCAAATGATGAAAATTTGGAGAAAACTGCACTACAGAGGCACAAAACAGCATCAGTAAAATGATAAAATATACATCCAACAATTCCTTATCAACTATGCTCAATTGTACTCTTAAATGGATTTCAGAACCAGCCAATGACAACATTTGGTGTGGCACTGATACCATGTTCAATGACCACTTCATCTAAAGCTTAATCTTTTAGATAAAGTGGTCATTCAACAATTAACTTAGCACATCTAAAGATTGTCAGTATCATATGCATCGACTACATAATACTTGTTGCAATGTTGAATACTGACCACTCAAACACCAAATATCAGAAGAAAAAATAACCACATATTCACTGGAAGTAGAATAAAAGGCATAGAAGTTTGAATATAAAAAGATATAAAACCTTTAAATCCGGGCAAGGCTGGAAAGTCTTCATTTTGAATGCTGAACTCTTGATTTTGTTGAACAATAGGACCAAGACCTTGTTTCCGCAGTGAACCTGCAACATTTCAAATCGTTATGCTTGTTACAGCAGAAATAGAAGGGCATTCAGAAGGTTTGTGGTGTGGGGGGGGGGAGGTCAGTTTCCCTTACCTAGTTGTCCTTGAGGGCCACCAGAAGAACTAGGCCGACTAGTCAGCTGAGGGAAATCGTTGATATCAAAAGGGGCACCATCGTGGGGATTCATGTCATTCAACATGCCCATACTATTAAGGTTATTCACAGGCTGACCATGGTTTTGAGATAAAGGGCCACCAGCAGTAGGGTATGAATTACCTAACATTGACAATACCTGTGGAGAAGCTGAATAACAAAAATTGTCATCTCTATACAACTTCAATTCTCAAGCAAGCACAATTTACTTGCAATATGTATGATAAAAGATTGCAAGTGTCATAACTGCTATTATTTTTTATTTATGTCCTAACTGCAGAGAGCTATCATTGAATGGTAGAATACCTTGTTGAAGCACACCACCCATCAGCCTGTTTTGGCCTTGCACATTTAGATTTCCAGAACTAGTGTTGGCAGTCATATTTAGGCGAGAACCAAGCCCAGGAACTGATAGTCCTCCACCCGAGCTAATATTTCTGCCAATGCTACCCCCACCGACTATACTACCCACAGAGCTGGTAATCCGTGGTCCTGCATTTCCAAGAACAGGGGGCACACCCAGACCTGGAACACTGGTCCGATTACCAATTGTCGCAGAGGTTGGGAGAATCCCAGGAATAGAACCACCAACTCCGTTAGTGCTACTACCATACCCTTGGTTTCCAACAACACCCATACCACCTCTACTAGCCATCCCAGGTTGAAAATGAGCACTGTTGTGAGATATCTGTATGTCAAAAACAATATTTAACAAGCAGTCCAGTATAATTAAGAACTGTATGATTCAAGCATCAACATAGTAGACACATATTTTTTATTAGGTTCAACATATTAAAATTACTTCCTAGTTCCTAGTTTCTATTTATCTGATTTCCAACCACATTCCAACTCCTAATTTGCATTTTCAACATAAACCGATCTAATATGAATCATTACAAGTGGAAATCTAACCTGCGAAAGACCAACTGGAAGGTTATTTGATGCAAAACGCCCACTTGAAAGGTTGCCAGCAGCTTGTTGCACCCCACTCGGCGGGATGTTATTCATGGTCGTACTTCTTGATCCAAGTGGCCCGGGCATGTTTGGAACATTGAAATTTCCATGAACATTATGCAGTCCCTGCATATTTCCCTGCATATTTCCTGCAAGAACAGCGGTTAGTATTATAGATTTTTGAAAGAAACAAACAGCAATCAATCCAACAAAGAGCTTACCAGTGTGATGATAAACAGGAGAACCGGCACCAGACTGACCAGAAAAAGATGATGAAAATGATCGTCCAGTGCTGTCGGGAAGACTCGAAGTTGATCCGTTCAGTGATGACTGTAATGAGACCATGAAAGAATCAACAAATACCAATTGTAAGACTTAAAGCTTCATGTATGTGTTAACTTCCTCGCATAAATATCACTTTGTATATGATCTAAGGAAGAATCTGTCACCTCTTAAATACAGATAAATGTAATTTAACCAATATTAGAGGAAGGGACTCTTCACATAAATCATATTAAATACATCTGGAATCCACTAAACAAGAAGCCTGAGGACTCAATGAATGTCAAAGTGTCCAAAGGTTGTTAAGTGCCTTGAGCACACAATGTTAATCCTTTTGACCTAGTAATTGATAAGCACAAAATAAATGTCGATGAGATCTTATTCATCCGCATCATTCTACATCTAATTACCTCCCAAAAGAAAATAAAGAAAACTTCTCCTTGGAGATAACTCCGTAACATTATAACAGAAAAGGGAAAAAGAAAAACGAAGCTGGCAGTTCAAGATATCATATCATAACTTTACACCTATCTTGCTAGAAGAACAAGCCTATAACCAAGATCATGATTAGCTACATGCATCAATAGAAATCTAATCAAAATGTAAACTAGTATATCATTGACAGTGAAAATGGCAAATCTCCATTTTATAACTTATTCCAGAAGTTCTTCTCATTAGTGGATGAGAATAATAATGCTGGTGGTTAGGTTAGAGGAATAATTTGACATGAAGACTACTCCAATAGCATTTTTTCAGATACATTGCATAGAAAATTAGTAATGGATCCTTCTACACTTCTCATATTTAGCAATTTCAAAGTAAACGAAGTCCAGAAAATTGTAAACTCTACCATTAGCAAGCCTAAAAACTGATAAAACAGAGTTCTAGGTCTCAACTTTGTAAAATTATACATATAATAGACACATGATCATCGCAAAATGCATTTACCCAGACCAAATTATTTTTCATCAAATCACACAGAGAAATCCAGGATGGCCACTTTATCAGACCAGTATGAAATGATCAACCTTACAACATTGTCTAACGTAATATGATGAAATTAAATATTCAAAAAACGACAGTAAGAAATCAACCATGAACTCGAAAATTGACAAGTTACCAAGAAAAAGAGCTAAAAATCATGAAGCCTAAACAGTAATACTAGTATAACATTTGCAACAGAAGGGGCATTACATTGAGAAACCCTGACATTGTTAATGTCAAAATTTCATGAAGAGAATGTTTCCTTCAAAAGCTGCTGATGCCCTTTTTTCCTTTAAGTCGGAAAGATCTTCAAAAGAGTTCAGAGCCTTGCTCGTGGTTATACGAAAATCTGTAAAGGACAGTACATTAAACAGGCCCATCAAAAACAATACACTGTAGTTGACGCGGGTAGATGAAGATCTACATACAAAACAGATTCACAAACATATGTTCCAAACAAATATACGATCCACCTAATAGTTCGTCCATTTCTGAAACTTTTTTTTTTACAGAGATAGGAAATCTCTGTAAAATGATCTTACGACTACATTCACAACTTTACCATGGGTCCAGACCTAATCAAAATAAACTCGTGAACACAAACACTAGTCAACATGCAGCTTAATACCAAGAAAAGCAAAGAAAACTGGGAAAAATATTATTTATAATTGGAACTACATAAAAATTAGTATCAAAACAAAATTTTCAGAGTAAAAATAACTAAAGCAGATACCCAATTCCAAATAAATACACGCACAAGTTCGAGTCAAAATTCAGTTTCTGGAACGGCCATAAATACAGAAAATCAAAAAGGGGCAAAAACCAGCAGAAACTAAGAACACCAACAAATTGCGCAAAACTAAACCCTAAACAGCAACTTATCTTCACACAACACACAAACAACTAAACAAAATACATGTACATATACATACACAAACACATACGCTCCATGTATGTATATGTAAAGAGAGAGAGAAGGAAGTAAGTATTGACCTCAACGAGATGGCAGATCTGTGCGCGAAAATCGAAGTATTTACAGAGCGAATTCTGAATTGGCAGAGACGATGAGGTTTTAGAGAGAGAGAGAGTAGAGAGAGAGAGAGGAATCGAATAATTAGAAGAGAAGAAAAAGCGAATACTGCTTCAAACCCCTGGGAACTTTATTTACACTGAAAATTATCGGCACAACTGTTTTGCAAAAAAGTAATTTCCAATTTGCCACTGTAGCACAAATTTACGTATTCATTGCTCAACGACACCCCCAAATTATTAAATTAAATAAAAAAAAAACAGGTGGGCGGATAAAGTCTGACAAAAAAGAAACCGAAGGAAAAGACGGATTTGCCCTTTGCTTTCATCAATCATACTCGTTAAAATTAAAGCTAAAAATGGCACTCCAACGGTTCAAAAATAAAATAAAGAATAGTATTGTTTTATTATCATTTCAATTTATTTGATGGCATCTTTGTAATTATTATTTTCTTTCTATTTTTTTTCTTCTTTATTATTTCTCTAATTTTCACTTTTAAAGTCGAAAAAAATTGCTAATTATTTTATTCTTGTAATATTTTCGTAAACATTATTCTCATAATTTCACTCTCCTCTTGGTCATATTCTCGTATCAAATTCTAGTTGGAGTCCTTTTGATCATCTTGACTAGAGGCGAGAGTCGAAATGAAATTTTAAATCCCGTTGATTCCGACGGAATATTTCGACTTTTAACCAAGTATCTTCATTTTGATATCCGATATTCCGATTTTTTTTAATTGAAATTGGAGTATTACATTTTTTTTATTATGATTTTGGATCCAGTTTTAATATTCAATAGTTCGATGATTCTCGTTTTTTTCTTCCAAAATAATTTTATTAAATAATTTTGAATTATCATGTTTTCTTTTTTTAAATTTAAACCCGAGTAACCAAACTTAGAAGAGCAACTAGCATAGAACATTCACTAGTCCAAAATGAGGTAATAAAAAAGGCGGCGGATATATACAAGCCTATTTTTTTATTAGTTCAAATTCATATAAAGGGGTTTATTTGTTCAAGTCCGTAAACTAATCTAATTTTATTACATAAAGACCAAAGAGAACGAATATACTCTTATCCACAAATAATACTCAAATACAAACAAGGGGAAATATGCAATACACCCTCAAATGGAAAATATTTTGAACTAAACTCAATTGACCTTTAGAGACTTTTGCCTACACCCAAGTTTCATTTTTAATTAGTGAAACCCCATGACCAGACATGATAAGACTAACGTGCCCTTATGTGGTTAGGTTTTTAACGTGATACAATTTTATTTCTCTCTTTCACTCCCCCTCTCTCTCTCGTTCCCAATTTCACGTCGTCTTCTTTTTTTTTCTTTTTTTTTTTCTTTTTCTTCTTTCTACAGATCTGTATACTCGCCGACGCACTTCTTCATCTTTTTTCACACCACCGCCGTAGTCCGCTCACCATAGCCATCGTTGTTCGGCACTTGTCCCGCCGGAGCCAACAATACCTTTTCAACTGCCGGTCGGCCGAAGCCTAATGCAGGAGTACCTTCTCCGTACAAGGGGTGGGCGGCGGTGCCTCCCCCACCTCGCCGCCGCCTACTATCGGATACGTACATAGAGATTTTCCTTTTTCGTTCTCTTCGATTTCTCAATTTTTTTTCCAGATTTGTTCACCACGGCCACCGTAGCCACGCCCCACTCTCTTTTCATTC